TTCTGCATTTTTCAACATGGCCCTCTGCTGCTGACACCCAGGCAAACAGGGTCTGGAGTGGACCTCAAGCAATCTCCAACAGACCTACAGCTGAGGGTCCTGACTGTTAGAAGGAAAACTTTTGTGTCGCTCGCGCTGGGAGTTGGAGACTGGAGCTGTTCCTATTCGGCCATCTTGCTCCGCCCTCCCTAGAGATATGTCTTTTAAATGACTACAATAAGTTGGCAAGGTTATATGTGAAAAATTCCAATAATATAGGTAAAGCATTCTAAGAATTTATAAATATATAAGAACAAGTTAAATTAAAGTGATAAGTAAAGGTTTAAATGAAAAAAAAGTGGTTACTGATGCCTTTTGATAAATGAACATTTGATAAAAATCATTTTAGAGAGAAGAAAAAAGAAACTGTAGAATTTGATTGAGGAATAGAAAAGAGTTTGACCAGGGCAAAATTTTATGTGAGAGAGGAGTATTTGGATTGGTGATCTGTTGCTGAAGGAAGAAAGCCACCTATTCCTGTTCTTCTATGATTTACAGATGGCCAGAAAATAATAAAAGAAAATAAAAAAAAAATCTTTGCAAATGCTTATGGCTTAATCGGCATAGCCCTGCTCTTAGAGAAAGTGAAGCAGCAGCTGTGTAAGATGTGATTCAGGATTCCATCCAGTTGCCAGCTTCCCAGCATCCTTACAACTTGCATAGTGCTAGACGTACATGTATCCTTCCCTCCAGCAAGAAAATGTGTCAATTTTTCAATAGGAGCTTGCACTCCATCTGAGATTGCACCCTATTAAATTTCAATGAATAACTCATTTTATTGACTAATACATCTCAGAAGCATTATAAATATTTTTATGGCCCCTTTTATTGTGCAAGTGCTTTATCAATGTGCATATTCGGATTTGCTTTTTCAACTGAGAGTACGCTAATACATAAAACCAGGCAAATACGTTACTCAGATAGACAGCTAAATCCTGGGGTGGGGTAAAAGTAAAGTAAAGGAACTAGCTAATAATTTTCCAACTGATCGATTAAGTCAAAAGGTCAAACTATCCACCAGATTACAGCTTTGTTTAAACCCTATTAATTACAAAGTTGGAGGACAAAAGAAGACTGATCACAAAAGCTTAGAATTCTCAAAGTGGGCTTAAATTCTTTCATTTATCTTGGGAGGGAGCAAAGATATTACTTTTATCAAAGTTTATACAGGAGTAACCCTAATGGTGAAGTTAAGCTCCTGAGACGTTTTATAGTACATAAATCTCCAATATGTGACATGTTTTCTGATGCCTCACCAAAGGCAAACATATTATAAGATGCAACTGACACACTACTTCCAAACAGAAGCCAGGGAACTGCCAACACTTGTAATGGCCAAACACAAACACAATGAGGTCATCATATCAGATTGTTTACCTGTTTCTGTAATACAGATGGAAAATATGTTCTGACAGTTTCAAAAACAATACAAGTTTTTGAGAATTGAGGATGGCATAACCTTTTTATGATTTTACAAATGTTATAAAATATAGGATCTATCTAGAGGGTAATTTCACCTTGATTTTCAATTAACTTAACCAAACAAGGTAAATACCATTAGTCACAATCACTTTTACAACCTCAGTCATTATCCATCAAACTATTTTGCGGATCATTTCTGTTTTTATAGTTGGAATAAATAAACATGGCATAAAACACATCAAGTCTTTTCATCCTGCAGTAGCTAAACTTGTCTATCTCCTATGCACATTTCAAGCTATGAAGAGTTTTTTTGTATATTCTACATCCTTTAAAAAAAATGGTGGGCAAATGTTTAACACAGTAAACTATACAGTGTGGAAGTGGAGAAAATGTGTATTTTTAATAAAAAATAAGGGAAGTATTCATTTAGAAAATATATGCTTTTAGACTCCGTCTCTCTCTCTATATATATATATTTACATATATATATTTACACACTTTTAGTATTAATCAAGAATGTGCTGTGTCACACTATCAATTTATTTCTTTTTTATTATTATTATTATTTTTAGACAAAGTTTCACTCTTGTCACATAGGCTGGAGTGCAATGGCATGATCTCCACTCACTGCAACCTCTGCCTCCTGGGTTCAAGTGACTCTCCTACCTCAGCCTACCAAGTAGTTGGGATTACAGGTATGTGCCACCACACCCAGCTATTTTTTTTTTTTTTAGTAGAGACGGGGTTTCACCATGTTGGCGAGGCTGGTCTCGAACCCCTGATCTCACGTGATTGCCTGCTTCAGCCTCCCAAAGTGCTAGAATTACAGGCGTGAGCCACCACAACCAGCTCACACTATCAATTTCTTTTTCTTTTTGTTTCTTTAAGACAGAGTTTCACTCTGTCACCCATGCTGGAGTGCAATGGCATGATCTCGGCTCACTGCAACCTCCGTCTCCCAGGTTCCAGCAACTCTCCTGCCTCAGCCTCCCAGGTAGCTGGGATTACAGGGGCCCACCACAACACCCAGGTAATTTTTGTAGTTTTTAGTAGAGACGAGGTTTCACCATGTTGGACAGGCTGGTCTCCAGCTCCTAACCGCAGGTAATCCTTCCGCCTCAGCCTACCAAAGTGCTGGGATTACAGGTGTGAGTCACCCCACCTGACCCACACTATCAATTTCTAATGCTAATTGGGCAGTTTCTAAAGGTTACCTATCAATCCTTAATAAGAAATATACACATTACACATTCTAAGGAGACGGTATTTTCTCACACTTGTAAGATAAATTACTGTTAGGTTTATTTGTGTTCCCTGTCCTCACTCACTCACACGTTTGAGCCGGTAGCTCTCATCTTAACTTCCGGGAAGGAGTAATTAACCCAATGCTTTAACGCCATCACAGGGGTCTCAATGTTCTGTATTTCTCTTCCAGTCTCACCCTGTGTTTTCTCTCCCGCATGTTTTGTTTTCCTTCTTTAACAAATTACTCATCATTTTTAATAGCACTGCTTCTGAAATCAATCAACTCTACTTAAATGGTTCAAACAATTGGATGCAAAAGTACAGTTTAAAATTTCACAGGTATTATTTTAAAGAGGAAAAGCAAACTTCCTCAGGAAGAACAATATCCAATAAGGAGTGTGGGAAGGTTCATAAGACAGTCAGTGGTGGAAGGCTTAAAATATAGTTCCCTAAACATCTTTCATATAGACTAGCTCTTCTTTCCTCAAAATTGCTCATTTCTCAAATACTCCATCTTTCTCATAACTCCTTTAAAATGTAGTGTGTGTATATATATATGTATATGTATATAGTGTGTGTGTGTATATATATATAGTGTGTGTATATATACACACACACTACACATATATATATAGTGTTGGTATCTGAAATGAAGAAATTATGTTGTGATATCTTACCTTTAATTTTCTATTATTGTTTCGACACATAGAGTATATATCTTACCTCATTTAGAAATACACACAACCCTATGAAAGATCTTCAGTAGCCCTATCTTATTCCTGAGGAAGGTATAGTTACAGACATTTTTTAAGCCATCTCAAGAGTTTTAGGCATTCAGCCCCACAATGGAACTCAGCCCCCTGTCTCTTTATCTTAAGTTCAGCATTCCTAAGATGATACCTGCTGGAATCCAAGTGTTTCTCTATAATCTGAAAAGCAATTTTTTTCTGCTCATCTCAAATATTTTTTTTTTTTGTGACTGGTGCTATGGACTGATTTCAGTCTCCCCAAGACTCAACTCATATGTTGAAGTCCTAATGCACAATGTGATGGTATTTGGAGATGGAGACAATGGGAGGTAATTAGGGCTACATGTGGTTATGAGGGACCCTCATGATGGAGTTATTGGTGTTATAAGAAGAAGAAAAGCAAAAATTGATCTGTCTCCGTCATGTTATGACACAGGATGAAGATGAAGATGGCTGTCTACAAGCCAGAAAGAAGAATTTTACCAGAAATTGTATTTAGTGGCACCTTGAATTTAGACTTTCCAGTTTCCAAATTTGAGAAACAAATGTCTGCTCTAAAGTCACCACGTCTATGATTTTTTTAATAGCAGCCCAAACTAATGCAAACAGTTATACAATTCTCATGTTCATAAATTCATTAACTTAGAAATACGATCTTTTGGGCCCTATATTTTTCTATTGCTTAAATTTTTAAATAATTATATTAGACTAATTAATACTAATGATATTTATCCATCTCTCACTTTGATTTCCTTTTATTGATGGAATATTCACTTTTTCTTGTCTTAGTGGCTTCTCAGAAGGGCTTCATAATGACTGATTTAATCAGAATGTTTGCAGAAGCAAGTGAATTATGTTGCATCACTAGGTAGTCAGTTTAAATGAAAATCATAGATACAGAAGGATCACTAAAAATAAAATTAGTTAATATACTAATTTAGTTAGGAAAGTTATTCCAGTTCCAGAAACTTCAGTAGAAGTCACCATCCAGAAAACTCACTACCCTTTGCAGGAGTTCAAATAAATGGTGTTTTAGTTATAAAGCAAAGGAAGGTTCAGAACTTTAGATAAGTTTCAAATAAAAACTAAATACATCATGTTATATTCTAATTTATCACTATCGTTATTAATATTCAATCATTGTCTTATAATCTGTTTGAAGTATTGTCTCTTTTTAAGGAGAACATGCTCATATTCATAAAACAATGGGCACCTGTCACAGGTTGGGTTCCTGAAGCAAACACTGAGGTGATATTTGGGATTCATGATAGGATTAAATATATCAGATGAAATGTTTAGAATATTTTAATGCTAAAATATTCAAAGGATCACTGAAACTGAATAAAGCCATTGGAAAATACAAAATATTTGTTTTTCCTTCTTTCCTTTTAATAGACTGAAATCTTTAATCTGAAACTCTTCTTTGAGAGGAGATTAATTAGTAAAACTCTAGTCCCCTCTCTTTGCTCATTCTGTCCATGGAAGGTGGAGTGATTTAAGACATTTATACATTTGGGAAAGAATAACTGGACATACCTGGCTTCACTCCGGCCTTCTTTTTCTCTGGGAAGCTGATCAAAGAGAATATAAGTTCTGCCCTGCCCTTCCCGGGCAGCCTTCTATATGCTTCTGTTTGTGGACACAGGGTAAACACCAGTGTAATTTTAGTGCTTGCTGCATATAAAAGCATAAAAGCCACATACTAAACTGGCCTCTGTTCAAAATAAAAGAGATATTTGATATTCACCTTTGTTCTTGGTGTAATTTCTCACTATTTCAGTATCTAGACATGAAAGTGGGTGTTCTGAGAGTTTTCCTCAGGAACTCCCAATAGCTGTAAAAAATACACAAAACAAAAACCTTAATTTGTCTCATAACAGTGAGTTCAAGTTACTTTTCATATGAGTAAAAGAGAAAGGAAAATTAACAAGTAAATTAGAAGAGAATAATTCTGCTTTCACTTCAAGGTAATCAAAATTCTTCTAAACAGTATCACTATCTGATAGTAATACAACACAATAAATAATGTAAAAAACTGAAGTTTTTATCTACTGTGCCAAATATGATTCCTCTGTCTTCTTTTTGTTTGTTTAAGAAAGTATTTTAAAAAGTTAAATTGACCAAATGGGCCACTTATTCTGGCATTGTATAATCAGAGTCAGAAATGTTGAATAAACAAATCAATAAAATGGAGCTGTATATTAAAAACAACAAGCAGGGTTTGTCCTAAATATTTGCCCCATAGCCAGGTTTACTTTGAGCTAGCATGTAAAAGATTTTGTGATTAGGCCCCAAAGCACAAAAATACCAATTAATTATGATGATTAGATATGTCTTCATTAGTAGTCTATAAATAAATCATGCAAAGCATTATGCAGTCAGCTATCCTGGAAAAATATTCTTCTAAAGGGCTGTGAAAACAGCTTAATTAATTATAAATGCTTTGAAACTTACCACATTATATTTTGAAATGTTAAAGCATACATACATACACATGTTATATATGTTTGGAGGTATTTGTCAACCTGTTTCAGTGTTTCTTAATGCTACCGAGCACTAAAATGCTTCCCAGAATCAAGATAAAAGTGTGTTAAAAATCTGTATTTATTGTTAAAAGTAAAAATGTTATTTAGAACACTTATATTTCCAATTCCTCTCATGTTTTCAGATGACAGAGTGTTTTTCTTTGATATTTAACTTCTATGCTTCCAGAAATGCTTTGTAAATATTCTCTTCTCTTCCCATCACGTTCCCTCCCTGCCCTCAGAATATTTTCCTCATTTATTCAAAAAGATTTCTTCCTGAAAATGTTCCATTATTAAAAATATTTCATTTATGCTTATAATTAACCCATTTTTTGAAGCTGTGTTCCATTCACTCCTTCAGATCTTCTGCCCTCCACCTCTCCCCAGCAGACCCACAGGACAATGATCTCTATGAACGGCATTAAGTGTTTCCCTTGCCCTGCAGTTTCTAGTTGAGCTTGGCTAATGGATATCCCTGGCAGGAGATCAGAGGTAGGTAGGAAAATTTATTTTCCTTGCTCCTTTTCTGCAGGTTGATTGTATACCTCTGCCAAAGGTCACAGCTCTTGACGGGTGATTCTTGCTGCACAAATCGCTCTATGGGTTTTAGTCCTTTCAGATATAAGGGTGATAACAGGTCTCTCCATTACAACTGGCCCTGGGGTATTGAAATCTCTTTTGATTTCTCTATACCCTGCTCTAGCTTTTGTAGATCATCATTTTATTAATTTCATCTCAAAGTATCTCAAATTATCCAATTTGAGTACATAACCTGTTCTATGCAACACCCTGACATGATTATTTTTGTAAATAAGCAATTCAAAATAGCAAGCAAAAATAGAGTAAAACATGAACATCCTCATTACATCTTTTCATTTTGAATACTGAAAATACAATTCAAATTGGCCTAAGCACCTGGATTTTTCTAGTTTTCTGAGTCAATATATCACATGCAGAAGGATGCACTTTTCATGGTTACTTATGGTTAAAATGGGCCAGAACAGTTCAGGGTACCATCAAGCATGCTTTTGCATATACTACACTAGAATGAGTGTGTATCAGTCAGGGTCCATTCATAAGACAAAGTCAAGTCAGTTATTTTAACAGAAATGGTTTTATATAATAAGTGTTAACTAGGTACTAAAGACTTAAAATGGCAAAAAGAAAAATAATTGCATTGTTATGGAAGGAGTTTCTATAGACTGCAGTTACCCTACTAGGACTGGGTATGCAAACGTACAATCTTGGAGGAGGGTCTGTGCAGAGCTGAAACTCAGATCTCGGATAAAGCGTGCTGCTTCACCCATGCTTGTGTCTCTTTGCTTGAGGGAAATATCTTATGGGACTAGGACCCAGGCCTTTGAAGAGGAATGCTGATTGACAGCATCAGGGGCTGCTGTTTTTGCAGGAGCACATTGAGACTGATTCTGCAAATGCTGAAGAACTGCAAAGTCAATTAAACATTCTACAGAGACAAACTGCTGCTACCAGCAGGAAGAGGTGAGATGAGGCTAAGGTGATGCTCAATGACAGGAAGCAAACGGGAAGCCAGCACCAAACAAACAAGATGGAGCAAGTCTCTTTTCCCTCTTCCATCCTTACAGCTCCCTCTAGTGCTTTCTACTAGCCAAGACTAAGAGGAAGGCAGCTGGCAAAGCAGACATGAAGCTTGCAGATTTCTAGTCCAGCTTCACAGAGCAGAGTGTAGAAGAAAGAGTCTGAGCTGAGAGGCAATAACTTAATACCCATGTAAGGTAACAGCCAGAGGTCAACTATACTGATTGATTAGAAACACAGTTGTAGAATTCCTACTTTACCAAATCTTATATGAGGCCAGATTGTTTTAACCACAGGAAAGTTTTAGTCCTTTCAACTTTCTACTTGGGAAATTAACATGATAAAGAAAACAATTATAACAAAATATGAGAAGTGCCATGACAGAAGCTATAATCTGAAGTTTTTAGAATGGCATTTCAATTACCAATGTAGAGTCCAGGGAGAGCATTTGATTGGAGGTAATGTTGAAGTTGGATTTGAATCCTGAAAAGATTCAATAGACAGGAGCCTACTGAGTAGATACTAGAATTCACTCAAAAGCTTGATAACTGTATTTGGGAAAATAGGAAGGTCAAACATCAGAAAATACAGGTAATTTCCACTAGAGGAATTTCCTGGTTACAACACAGGAATCACTCACTGTTGTTCCTGAATACCACTGAACTAGACCTACTGTCACTGGGCACAGCTGCCATGAACACAGTGATAGTCAATAATTTTTCATAGGCCTTTTTAAAATTTTGTATCACTTTCTGAAAATTCAAAGTGGGCCATCCAGTAGGTTGAACCTAGGTCAGTTGCCCTGCTCTGGGTGCCAGGGGAAACAAAGAAGAATATACGACCTTGTTAGTCTGACCTTAAATTCTGGCTTCCTCCAAGATTTACATAGCAAGGATTTTTTTTTTTTTTTTTTTTTTGACAGAGTCTTGCTCTATCACCCAGACTGGAGTGGAATGAAGTAGCTGGGACTACAGACACAAGCTACCATGCCCAGCTAACTTTTGTATTTTTAGTAGAGACAGGATTTCATCACGTTAGTCAGGATCTTCTCAATCTCCTGACCTCATGTTCCATCCGCCTCAGCCTCCCAAAGTATTGGAATTACAAGTGTGAGCCACCGCGCCCAGCCCATAGTACGGATTTTCATCCCAAATAAGGTAAACATGTGTATGATAGGTTCACAACATTCCCACTAGCAATAATCTCTTTAGCAACCTGGAATTCATATAAAATCTTTTGCCCATTCGAATCAAAAAAACTTCCTGTCTTATACCATGAAACTTCCTCTCATAGCAAAAGTCTAGTTTACCAATGTCCCAAAAGGAGACAATTTTAACCCTCTTCAGTTACAGCATATAGCTCCAACACTAGAATCCTAGGATAATCTCCATATTGAACCGAGATCTCCTAGATCCAGTCTTGATCTTGCCACTGTAGCAACTGAAAGAAAGGAGAAGTAGATTTATGAAAATCCTTCATTCCTAGGGGTTCTGAACTCTTACTAGTTTTATCTGTATAGTTCAATCTTTTACAAATAAATATGGTCACATAAAAATTACCCATGGAACCAACTGGAGACCCACCCTTCCTGATGTATCATAAATTATCTTTCCTCTTGACTTTCAATATCAATTACCCTATACAACACACTAATCCATTTTATTGTTTGCTGACTCAGGTCATGAGATTCTGAATTGACCAGTTGGCAATGTTTACTCCATGCAACCATCACTGAATACCCTGGTGTAACATTTCTGCCTTGAACATTACTAGTTTCTAAACCAGTAGTTCCCATTATTTCAGAGATAGGAATAAATATATTGTGAATAATTAATTAGGTTTAATTGGGAGAAGTACTAATTTCAATTATATTGTATACTGACTGTGAAATAAATAGAAATGTGTACGTTTCAAATGTTCCAAATCATAGGTAATATCCTATGACATGATACCTACTTATTCTTCAAAAAAGTATATAAGACTAAACAAACCTAAGGGCATTATCCCATCTTCCTGCTTTGTTCATAGGAAATAGAGTTCCTTGTTTGGAAGAAACTATGAGAAATACAGTGACATTGAATAAAGCATTCAGTTGTGTAAGGTATAATGATGTTGACTTGAGGCATTACATGAATTCTCCATGACAAAAGCAGTAAAACAATCATCAACTGATTCCAAGCAAACAGTTGTCCAAACAATTATCCTACAGTATTATAGGTTTGCATTTACTACTTTTGGTAAAATATCTTGGTACACAGGTAAAGGGAATCCTGTGTTGTGCTTGAGTAGCTGCTATCCTTTCAACTATGGTCACTTTGTTCATTAAATTCTAAAGCTTCTATAGAAGGAAGACAACCTACATTGAGAGATTAGGTTAACTCATCCATCTAAATATTATGAGCTGTTTGGCTAGAAATGTCCTTTGGATTAACATGTAGCATGAATATTCTTTATGTTCTGAGCCTATTTTAAGAAATTCTTCCATGCTTCTCTTCCCCAATCTCCCCCCGCAAAAAAAAAAAAAAAAAAAATCTGCCACTAGTCCCCCAGTTCAGTTCCTTTGAGATCCCTTATCTAGTTTCTAGGCAAACTGGCAGCTATTTGCCATAAATACTGGTAAGTTGACATTTAAGGCAATTTGAAACTATTATCAAAGCACAAGAGAAAACTGGACTTCTTGGGGCATTATTTTGCCCATGAGCTCCACAAGTCATCCAGTAGGTTTTAGAGAGAAAATCCTCCCAATGGGCAAAATAGATTAATGTGTTTAATGCTGTGTCTAAGAATCTCGAAAAGATCTTAGCATTTCCATTTTCTCAGTGCATTCTTCCCCTGGTAAGTCGCGATGGGTGCCTTTAAGAAGAGGTACAAGGAATTTTCATAGTGTATTCTTCAGTGTCAATGGGTTAACAATGGGAGCTAGTGTTCAGGGTGCCAAAATACTCTTTCCCTACCAATTCTCTAATTTTTACATAAGAGACGAGGAAAAGCTCTGAATTCAACTGATAGTCTAATTTTACTATCTCTAATACCACATTTTGTTTTTTGCCAGCTCAGTCCCTGCAGCAATAAAAGATAAGAGATCCTTTTATCTTGATCCTAGAAACTCCCTGGATTTCAGTCAGTGCTGTGAGCCTAGAATTCAAGGATTTTAACTTGTCATTCTGTTTCTTTAAGCTGTCCATTGATGTTCAAAACAGCTGCCCTTTCTCTAAGTCCATAAATTCTTCATGTACACCCCACTATTCTGTGGTGGGGGCAACTCAATTCTGTGGTGGGGGCACCTCAATTCCCAAAAGCCATCACTGCAATGAGCACCTGATGCCAGGTGACTACAGACAACAATTTGATTAGCTTTTTCACTATTACTGAATTCCTGCATTGGCATTTAAGCAAGATTTTGACTGGTTTCTGCCCCAGCTATGCCAGATGAAAAATTTAACAGTTTCCACATTTCCTTGAAAGTATCTGATGCACCCCATCCCCAGGTAACAATTTCTCTCTCAGTTAAAAATCTTGGACGTGAGCAGAAAAAGCAGGTCTAGCTAACAAAAGGAGAATATGAATTTGTTGAAAGAATGTTGGGTAGCTCACAGAATTAGCTGGCATGATGGGGTACCTGCTAAGAAAATGGGCAGAAAACAACAGAAGCTTTGTAGAGGGAACCACAGCCAAGATTGTGATGAAGAAATACTCTTGTTTGGATGTCCCATAGGTACTACCAGTGCTATCAAGAAGATTTGCTGCTGGATACTACCACTGCTACATATAGCAGAAAATAATAAATGGTGGATCCAAAAGACACAAATCCAAACACAGATCATTATTATGCACGAGAAAAAATGAAAAACAAACCGGAGAGAAACAGAAGTTCATCTCTTGGTAATATGCAGCAATATAATAGAGGAAATAATTATCTGAGATTTAAATAGGGAGGGGTTTTGAGAGGCATTTGGCTAATGTGCCATCATCACCCGATACCTTCCATTACAGCCAATAATCAGCTGGGTGGCTTTGAAAATATTACTTTTTCTTTACTATAACTGGTTCAATGTTTCTACAATAAAGACAATAATGTCTCTACCAAATGATATACCTTGAGGAAAAATTGATGTGTGTGTGTGTGTGTGTGTGTGTGTGTGTGTGTATATCTCACATGGAATAGCGCCCAGCATGTAGTATGTACTTTATAGGTGTTAGTTAACTATTTGTGGTACTATTGAAGTAATAGCAACATTAAAGTCACCTCAATTTTGAAGAAAAAGTAATTAAAAAAGGTATGAGTACAAAGAGAAGGAAGCATTTGCACAACTGTTACTGTAATCAATTTTTAAACTGTCACTGTAACAACTTGGTCAATTAAGTATCTCCCACTTTTTATCTTATCCTAAACAAATTAAGCAATAATCATTACAAAATTGTTTTTCTCAAAGCTGAAACACTTGTCTTTGGATTAAAGTTTCTTTTTTTTTTTTTTGAGACAGAGTCTTGCTCTGTAGCCCTGGCTGGCTGGAGTGCAGTGGCCGGATCTCAGCTCACTGCAAGCTCCGCCTCCTGGGTTTGCGCCATTCTCCTGCCTCAGCCTCCCCAGTAGCTGGGACTACAGGCGCCCGCCACCTCGCCCGGCTGGTTTTTTGCATTTTTAGTAGAGACGGGGTTTCACCGTGTTAGCCAGGATGGTCTCGATCTCCTGACCTCATGATCTGCCCGTCTCGGCCTCCCAAAGTGCTGGGATTACAGGCTTGAGCCACCGCGCCTGGCCTAAAGTTTCTTTAATAAAAATACTTAATATCCTAAGAATAGAAACAAATTTACCTAAGCATATCTAATAAGAACCAAAACACAATATGTGTGCTGATAAAATATTAATGGAGAGTCCATTAAAATGAGAAACAAGACAAGGATGCCACTGTGGCTACTGCTTCTGCTTCTAGTTAATTTGATTATACAAACTAATACATATAGGACATGTGAGAATGATAGGAAAATATTACTCTTGCAAAAAACATGATTATCTATCTCAAAAGAAAACAAAGGAGTTAAGAAAACACAAATTTTTTAAAGTAAGCCTAATAAAACACTTCCCAAAAAAATGATTGAGAGCAAGATGGACAGTTAGAAACCCCCAGCACTCATCTCCCCTACAAAGACAGCAGAAACAATGAGTACATTCTGATGAAAATAACGGAAGGAAAGCACTGGAGTACACGAAAGAAAGAGCAGAAACTTTGCAGATCAAAGAAACCCAGGATAGCCACACAAAGAACAGAAGGAAACATCTCACTTCTGTCACTCCATCACCCAGATGGAATCAGCTTGGAACCAAGGGAAAATTCTTCCTATAGGGAAAAGGTAAGCAAGAGGACCCCATCATCCCCCATCACCACCTTGAGTACCTACAATCCTCACAGTAGGGACTACTGCAATTCTCACAAGCACTAAGCCCAGCTGAGGGAGCTGCCTGGGATGCACACAGCTGCACCCCACCCCCCGACCCAGAGAAGGCATCAACAGTGTGTCCATCCCACTCCTACCACCCAGCATGGCCGAAGCCACTATCATACTACACCATCTTGGAGCCATAAACATTGCTCTGGGACAAATAATCAAGATACCCTTCCATCAGTTAGGCTTTGTCACCTCTGAACTACTCTCACCTCGTGGCTCATCACTCATCATCATTATACTACATGCTAACATATGGGGACAAGTTGCCATGAAGCCATTCAATCTGCTTTTCTCAGCTACTGCTGTGCCATGACCCTCAGGGACTGAGCTGAAGCAGTGTGCTGCCTCACAGGGAAATGATACTTAGCTGCCCAGAGCATTCACACCCTTCCTGTGCTTGAGCTGAAATGGAACCCTGACTCATGGGGAATTGGTGCTTTGGCCAAGTCAAGCATTCTATGCATCCCAGAACTTACCTGACATGGTACCCCACATCCCAGGGAAACAGAGCATTGACTGAGCTGAGATACACTCCCATAGAGCCAAACTGCTGTAATACACCACTGCTCTGGAATTAGAATAACACCCTAGAGTCTGAGCTGCTGACACAACCTCCTACCCAGGGAATGGAATCATCACTGAGCTGTCCCTTGTACCCGAGGGCTCAAGAGATAGCTTTCTCTGCCATTCTGAGTTTATTGCTGCCACTGAACCTGAAAATACTGCTGTATCCCACCATCTTAGATCCAGAGTCACCATTATGTGATGCTGCATCTTCTGGTGACTGAGTAGCCATGGTGACCTGTTGGATCTCATTCTCAAATTCCAGCTGTACCTGCTGCTTGTGCTCAAATCTTCAGAGAATCCTCTTTTCTCTGGAGCCAGGGCAGTGCTATACCCTGCCCTTCAGGGACAGAATTAGAGCTAAAACTTGTCCCCCAGAGCCTGAGCTGCTGGGGGTGCTCAGAGTCACAGACCCTAGCTTTGTAGGCAATCTGCATCCCACACTGACTTAGAAACTGAACCTGTGACCTGAGACCCAGGTGGCACAATAGGTTCTTTGGACCCTGAGACCAGAAACTCAGCAACACAACTACTCTGAGCACTTTCAGCCTAGAACTTATAACTTCTGCAGCTGATTGTGGGCTGTATCATAATCAACATGAAGAGGGATCCCCTTTGTGGTATTGAAGAGGGACCCCCCTTGGATCCCAAGAAGGAACCAAAACTGTCTCGTGTAAGGAAAAATGAGAAGAGGTGAATCCCAAAAGTCCTTGCCACCAGGGTTCTTAACAACCTACACTTCCATATCCATTTCCATAGACTCCTACAGCCTATGCCACTGAGGCATCCAAAGTCATCTCTGATTTTGAGTGCAACTGAAGGAGCTGCATGGATGCTATACTATCTCATCCACTCAGAAACAGTCAACATACCCTTTCCATCTGGCATCTTTCATCTGAAGGTGAAAATCTTTTTCTGTGAAAGCCACTCTAAAATTTGGAGAGGTGATGTAATTTTTCTACTGGATATACAGACATCAACATAGGGGCACAAACCACACTAAAAAGCAAAGAAGTATACAATCCTAAAGGAACACAATAATTCTCCAGTAGCTGAACTTTAAAGAAAATTTACAAATTCCCCCCCCAAAAAAACTCAAAATAATACTCTTAAGAAAACCCAACAAGATAAAAGAGAATACAAAAAAGCAATTTAAAAAAATAAGAAAAACAGTTCATGTTTTAAATGAGAAATTTAACAAAGAGATAAATATCATAGAAAAGAACCAAACACAAATCTTGAAGCTGAAGAATTCAATGACTATAATGTAAAATATCATCAAGAACTTCATCAATTAGACTAGATCTAGCAGAAGAAAGTACCTATGAACTTAAAGAAAGGTCTTTTGAAATTACTCAGTGACAGGAGAAACGAAAGAAGAATAAAAAATAATAAAAATAGCATATGAAACTCCTGGGACACAATTAAGTAAATAAATATTCACATCATGGGAGTTCTAGAAAGAAGAGAGACAAAGATAAGGTCAAAAAGCTTATTTAGTGAAATAATTGCTGAAAAAAACCCAAGTCTTGGAAGAAATATAAACATCCAGATCCATGGAATTCAAATCTCTCAAACAGATTCAACCCAAAAAGGTCCTCTCTGAGGCACATTATTATTAAACTATCAAAAGTCAAAGACAAAGAGAATTTGACAAGTGGCAAGATAAAAGTGTCATGTGACATAGCAGAAAATCATTTATACTATCAGAACATTTCTTAGCAGAAACCTTGCAGGCCAGGAGACAATGAGATGTTTTATTCAAAGTGCTGAGAAAACAAAACAGAACAAAAACTGTCAACCAAGAATACTATACCCATTATATCTGTCCTTCAGAAATGAAGAAAAAATGAAAAAAAAAAAATAGTTTCTCAAATGAACAGCCTAACATTATGCCCCAAGGAACTAGGAAAAAAAAAAAAAAAAAACAAACTAAATCAAAAGTTAGCAAAATGAATAAAATTGTAAATAACAGAAAATAAATAAATAAGGAATAGAAAACCTATAATACAAAAATAGCAATGGAACTAATGGGTATTTTTAAAAATACACAAAATTAACAAAATCTTAGCTAAATTACCTAAGAAACAAAGAGAGAAGATTCAAATATGCAAAATCAGAAGTAAAATTGGATGTATTACAACAGATTTCTTAGAAACAAAAAGGATCTTAAATTATTAGAAAAATTATATGCCAATAAGTTTGATAGCCTCAAAAAATGGATACATTCCTAGAAAATTACAACCTAACAGGATTGAATCAAAAAGAAATATAAAGCCTGAAGAGACCTATAACAAAAGAATAAATAAAAGCTGTAATTAAGAGACTCCCCAGCGTCCCCCCAAAACATGCCCAGGACCAGATGGCTTTACATTTGGATTCTACAAAGCTTTCAAACAAGAATTAATACCAATACTTTTAAAACTCTTCCAAACAGTAGAATACTTCCTAACACATTTTACGAGGCCCACATGACTATCATATGTGAGCCAAAGATACCACTAGAAAATAAAACTACAGGCAAATATCTCTTATGCACATTAATGCAAAATTCCTCAATAACATATTAGCAAATCAAATTCAACAGCACATAAGATAAATTATGCATCATGATCAAGTGGAATTTATTCCTGGTATGCAAAGCTGGCTTACCAAATGCAAATTAATGAATGTGATACATCATATTAATAGAATAAAAGGCAAAAAACACATGATCATATCAATTGATTCAGCAAAAGCATTCAACAAATTTCAATGTCATTTCTTAATAAAAACTTCTAAGAATTTAGGTATACAAAGAAAATATTTTAACATAATAAAAGCCATTTATGAAAAAACCATAGCTAACATCATAGTTAATGGAGAGAAACAGACTTTTTTTTTCTTTAAGATCTGGCACAAGGCAAGCATGCTCACTCTAGTTCCTTCTTTTCGACATAGTATTGGAGGTACTGTCAAGAACAATTAGACAAATAAAAATAAGCGAAAGGTATCCAAATCAGAAAATAAGAAGTAAAATTATCTCTATTTGCAGAATACATAATCCTATATGTAGAAAATGCCAAAGATTCCATTGAAAACCTGTTAGCTTTAATTAATGAGTTCAGTAAAGTTGCAGAATATAAAATCGATATAAAAATCCATGGCATTTTTATACACACAGCGTTGTCTACCCAAAAAAATAAATCAAGTAAAGAATTCCATTTATGATAATATTAAATAATAAAATAAAATACTTAGGAATACATTTAACCAACAGGTGAAAGATTGTCCACTGAAAACTGTAAAACATTGGTGAAAGGAATTGTAATAGTCCATTCTCATGCTGCTAATAAAGACATACCCAAGACTAGGTAATTTATAAGGGAAAGAGGTTTAATTGGCTCACAGTTCAGCATGGCTGGGTGGGGCCTCAGGAAACAATCATGGCAGAAGGTAAAGCAAGCACATCCTTCTTCACATGCTGGCAGCAACAAGAAGTGCTGAAGAAAAAGCCTGAAATGCCCCTTATAAAACCATCAGATCTTGTGAGAACTCACTCACTCTCATGAAAACAGCATGTGGGTAACTGTCCCCGTGATTAAATTACCTCCCACTGCCCACTGGGTCCCTCCCACAACACATGAGGATTATGGGATCTACAATTTAAGATGAGATTTGGGTGGGGACACAGCCAAACAATATGAGAAATTAAGGAGAAAACAAATAAATAAAATATATATTCCATGGTAACAGATTGAAAGAATTAATGTTGTTAAAAAGTCCATACTACCTAAAGCAATATATAGATTTAATGCAATCCCTATTAAAATCCCAATGGTATTCTTCACAGAAGTAGAAAAAATAATGCTAAAATTGGAACAACAACAACAACGAAAACCATAAATTGCCAAAGCAATCCTGAGGCAGAGGAGTGGGGAAGCAAAGTTGGAAGAATTACATTTCTTGATTCAAAATCATGTTACAAAGCTATAGTAATCAAAATAGCATGGTTTCAACATAGAAGTAGACACATAGATGAGGGGAAAAAATAGAGAGCCCCAAAATAAATTCAAATATATACAGTCAATTACTTTGTGACCAGGGCACCAAAAAGACACAATGGTCAAAGGTTAATCCTTCCATAAATTATTTTAAGAAAACCGTGTCTTCATTTGCAAAAGAATGAAATTAGACCTTTATCTTACACCATACATATAAATCAACTAAAAAATATATAAAAGATATAAATGTAAGACCTGAAACCATAAAAATCCTAGAAGAAAACACAGATGAAGAATTCTTTGACATTTACCTTGCAATGATTTTTTGTATATCACATCAAACGCTCAGGCATCAAAGGCAAAAATAAATAAACTGGACTACATCAAACTAAAAGGCTCCTGCACAGAAAAATAAACAATCAAGAGAATAAAAAGGCAACCTACAATTTGGAAAAATATTAGATAAGGGGTTAACATCCAAGAATCATAAAAAAATTTATACAACTCAATAGTAAGAAAACAGATAACCTGATTTTAAAATAGGCAAAAGACACATATAAAAATTTCTCCAAAGATGTCACAAAAATGGTCAATAGGTAGTATGAAAAGATGCTAAAATCACTAATCATCAGATAAATTCAAATTAAAACCACTACGAGATACGTCTTTACACCTGTTAAATTAGCTATTATTAAAAAGACTTGTTAGGCCGAGGCAGGTGGATTACAAGGTCAAGAGATTGAGGCCATCCTGGCCAACATTGTGAAACCTGGTCTCTACTAAAAATACAAAAATTAGCTGGAGGTGGTGGCACACGCTGTAGTCCTAGCTACATGGAAGGCTGAGGCAGGAGGATTGCTTGAACCCAGGAGGCAGAGGTTGCATGAGCTGAGATCGCACAACTGCACTCCATCCTGGCAACAGAGCGAGATGCTGCCAAAAGAAAAAAAAAAAAAGAAAAGAAAAGAGAAAAGAAATAAGAGGTATTGGAGAGAGTATAGAGAAAAGGGAACCCATGGATGCTGTTGGTGGGAATGTAGATTGATGCAGTCATTATGGAAAACAGTATGGTGGTTCCTAAAGAACTTAAAAATAGAACTACCATGTAATCCAACAATCCCACCCCTGTGTATATACACAAGGGAAATAAAATCAACACCTCATAAACATACCTGCACTCCCATGTCCACTGTGGCATTATTCACAATAGCCGAGCTAAAGAAAAAACCTAGGTGTCCATCAATTGACTAATTGATAAAGAAATAGTAGTAAAAATGCAATGGAATATTATTCAGCCTTAAAAAAGGAAGAGACACTGACATGGATGAACCTAGAGGACATTATGCTAAGTAAAATAAATCACATACTAGACACATAAGTAAAATATTACATGCTCTCACTTACATGTGCAACCTAAAAATAAAAGTCAAATATGTACACAGAGAGCAGAGCAACAGTTATCAGGGTGGAGGGAGAAAATAAGGAGAAGTAGATGAAAGGATATAAAGTAGCAAATATGTGCCAAAACAAGTACTAAGATTGAGTGTACAGCATGAGGACTATAGTTAATAACAGTGTATTGTATTCAGGAGTTTTACTAAATTAGTAGATTACAGCTGTTCTTGCCATGGGGTAGGGGAGGACAATGTGTAACTATGTGAGATAATGGATATGTTAATTTGTTCCACTGTAATAACTGTTTTACTGTATCTTATAACATCATGCTACATATCTTAAATATACATAATAAAATTTATTTAAAAATAAATAAATTCCCAAGTGAGAGGAAAAATAACTGAGTACAATTTCAACAACAACAACAAAAATATATGTCTTTACTAGTCAGATGCACCAGTTATCATGACTAGAAAATCGAATGGATATACAGAATGAAAATGTAGTGGAAAATTTTAAAAAATCATTTACAGTGATAGCAAAATCTCTAAATTTCCTTTAGATTATTCTGAGAACAATGTGTAAAATCTAAGTGGAGGGAAAAATACAACTTTCCTGTAAATATAAAACAACTTAAGAATGCTTTTTTCGTGGATAAGCATCAATCTTAATTCTTAGTTATCTGTAATTGTTCATTCTCCTCAAAATCA